CGAGGGCCTTCGGGTGTATCGCGCCAACGTCGACGGTGTTGGCCGCGAAACGTCGAACCGCCGGCCCCGTTAAGATCCTGTCGCGATTAACTTCGCCTCCGTTCTGAAATATACTATGAATTCTCGTTGGCACCGCGGATTTTCTCGTTCGCCGGACCGATACTCGCAGACAGAATGTTTCCTTTCCATTGTCTTATCGTGGACCGGTAGACGAAGTGTAAGAGATATTCTCTTTTAATTTAACGACAGCCTGGAATCTTCCGTGTGATCGTATCGATGACAACGTCGACGGATCCGAAGACTCCAGCATGGACTAATGGCTTTTACCTATTTCTCACCTGACTGTATTTTACGACGAGGTATCGAGAGCAAAAGTGGACTAATAAACCGAGTAATTCTCTATCGCCGACATAATATTCAGTGTAACTAATTTCGTTATATTATGTGGACTTGATTTGGGAGAAACGAGTTCCTCCACTTTTATGCGATTAACCTGTTTTCAACCAGAATAATTTTCATGTAACAACTTTTGTATTTGCGGATCTTTTATTCCTTGATATGTCGCATCGTCTCTGGTAAAATTAAATTATATTTATACTTGCCAAGACCGTCTTTATTCGTTCTATAATTTCGATTCTCTTCTATCAATTTTGAACTCTGTAATCGCAGAAATGCTCGATTCAGCAACTACTCGGTTAACAAATTTAATAATACATCTGTATAAATTAACGCAAAGGAAACTCGTATTCGGAAAAATGTGACTTCAATTTTGCTCTCCGATGTCTCGAATAGTCGCTTGCACCTTGTTCCGCTTCGCTTGTCAAATGCAAAACGCTCTGCTTTTTTTTCGCGATCTTCGCTGGTGACGGGTATCTTCGATTGGCGTCTCAACAAACAACGAGAAAAAGAACGATGTATCGGCGAATGAGAACGCGCGAACGCGACCGACAGATGAACGCGATGTTGCCGTCGGATCGCGACAACCGCTGGCCCGCCATCCATCGAGAAAGATTTCACTGACAACGAATAAAAGTCGTTTTAATCATCGACGATCAACGACGACAATGTTGATTGTTATTTTATCGAATAGACTGGAACACAAGGGTGAATATTGAGATTATTGCTCGAACGAACAGCACGCTGTTGGAGATAAGATTAACGATAACGTTGACCGGTGATTAATTACGCGATTAACCCTTCGGACGTAGCTGTCTATTGTTTGCGAAGTGTGAATATACGTGTTCTAATTTTACAAACGTCGACGACTGCATACCGTATAGGTACTATGAGAAATAAGCGCGTTTAATGTTGCCCGTTATATCTTTTTTATCGTCAAACGCGTATAGACTGTGCTGTGAAAAGGACAGCAGATTAATACGGCTATGGTCGAGGTGGTTGGTTAAATAAAGAAGTGGAACTGTAAAAGGAAAGTATCGATACTTGGTGCCCTGTGTACGACAACCTGATGAAGGATTTTCATTTATAAGCGAACGCGAAGGTCGTTTGCGTGCGAAGATAAAAGACGATAGATTCTAAGATATAGAAACGCGTTAAAGTTGAAGTAGGAAGAAGTGACATTTTCGTAGGTTTCCGTTCATTTCTTCGTTGGACGTGTAAACTCGAACGTCCGATCGATCTGTTAATTGCTTAGCTTGCCGCCGCGAAGATTATGCGATACAGCGTTTACGATAACGTGTGATACATGGAATGTCCGATTTTTATCCTACTGATTTTCCAAATATCCTCCATTGTTCTCTACGTTATAGATGTGTAATTATTTTTAACATTCGACGAACAACGAGTATAGATATAAAATTCGATACAAAAATCCGTATAAATCCGTAGAAATCGAAGGTTTCGTATACCTACGGCCTAGTAGAAACGAAGATAACGAAAACATCGATAGTCAAGATCAAACGACATAAACACGGAGCAAGACCGTACCAGAATACGAGTGGAAATACGGTAAACGTGTTTTAAGATGTTCGTGAGGCGCACATTTCTGACATTAAAGGGCACATACGTTAGAAACTTGAGAATGACGGCTCTCGTAGGGTGACACGATATACCCGATCTATATGACTGGTGCTATAGATATACGCGTGCGGACGTTAGGGGTTGATGCGAAAGATAGGAGAAAAGAGGTCAGACAGCGCGGTCCTCGATCTTCTGACGCGCTGTAATGTCATTAAGGATGCCGACCGTGACGATTAATGAAAGAGGCTCGATCGTCAGTGGCGTAAAAAAGCTAGCGAAACGAGCTCGGGCGTGAGCGTGTCGTTTAAAGACAATGGCGAGAAACGTTGACTGTGGCGAGAGGAAAGGAGACCTGCGAATCGTGATTTGCCTTTCAATTTAAAATTGAAATAAATCTTTCGTGTACAGTGCGGATGTTCGTTCATAGGTATCGGTTCAAGTTGAAAGCTTTGCGTTGTTTTTCTTGTCGCAAGTATGACAAGTATAGGAAAAATACAGCGTGTATAATTTTGTCCTTGTTTTGTTTGTCTCTTTGTTTAAACAAGAATCTCCCTCTATTTCATCTTGAGATTAAATACAAGTTGAACCAGCTCTCTAAGTATCTTCAAAATATCGATTATCGTAGCCATTGGTCTTTTTACGGAAGTTTCTTCTTCGTCGATTTATCGTTTGTTTTTAAAAAATGTACGATCTTAAACCTACGAGTTTCTTCCCTTTTCAATTAAACGAGAAGTTCAAGAAACCATAGCTTGCGATGTTCACTTCCATTGTAATTCATTTCCATCGTAGCGTGTGTCTTGTAACGTAAAATATAAAATATATTGTAGTAAAAGTTGTTGGAATTTTCCAATGAATGCAACGAGTAGGTTTCCAGTATTCGTGACCAACGATGCACTTTCGTCTATTCGTATTTTCGTCTGCTTTCGAAACTTTCCTCGTCGACTTTGATCGTTCGTGATTTACACTTCTGGGACGATTTTAAAGGAGAATCGGAAGGAAAAGTAAGGGTGCGATCGGTGATGTCTTTTAGGAGCAATTTGGGACACTCGAGCGTAGTTTATGTGTAGTGGCTTCGGTAAACCGAAGGGTCGACGCCGTCGGCCTGAATTCGTACGAAAAGAGAGATTAGAAGTCCGAACGATCCCCCTCCGAGAGGAAACGATTAGAAGGACGGTTGTTGCTGGACCACGCCTAACCTTTCCCTCGTACATAAATAGAATTATTCGTTCCTACATGGAGTTTTTGATATGTGTAACACAAACGAGGATCTTCGCTTGGAATCAATCTGAATCTTAAACTGGTCGAGCCGTAAAAATTCTTCCATAAGCTTGCCATCTTGATAGTATAATACGTACACTGGATCTCATAACTGTTCGTAAGTATAAAACCACCGAAGAACTTTCGACTTTTATACGTTTACGTATAAATCTTGTTTTATTTATTAATTTTCTTTGAATTAATTTAATTTTAATTAATCTTATTTTATTAAATGCAATTTATCATTCTCTTGCCCCCAAGAAAGGATCGAAAAGATCATCGGAAAGGAAGAAAAACGCTGGGAAAGTAGTTTATACTTGTTTCTTTATAGACTATGGTTATTTATACGCATTTATATTTTTTAGGGAGATAATTTAAAAAATGAAACCTGCACATAGGTGGAAAATCGTTTCGTGTACCAAATATCGTAACGATTACACCATATTTTGCATATTTTCTATGTTTCTACGTATCATGTGCACTCTGTACGTTTTTGCATCTTTCAGTTTCCCAAAAACGCGCAAAAACCAACAGTCCATTCGTAACTATAGAACCTGCGTAACAGAATGTTTTACTACAGCAAGAAATTGA